GTTTGAGGGGGGGGGGGGATTTGGGGTGAAGAGCCAAGTGTGGCAAGAGAGGAGGCAAATGAGTGATTTGTTTGTTTGGAAGCAATAGAGGAATGTAATGGCACGGCCAGCCGGCTGTGTTGAGCCAGCGCTGCTTAAGCGTACATTGCAGTAAAGAGAGCACAGAGGCGGTGACTAACACAGAGAAGAGGCTCAAATGGCTTTATAGGGGATGGGGGGGCAGCAGCCAGGAGCGTCGCGGCGTCAGATATTGGACATGTGATTTTGGTCAGCAGTCGCCGAAGCGGTCTGAAGGGGAATCAGTTTCTCGTCACGCGCCGGCCGCTCGTTGGGCATGTTTGGATGACAAACGCGCGCTGACACGCACAACCACTCACCACGGCGTGCAACACACAAGGGCGACCGCGGGCCCAACAACAGACGTCGCATCACATGTCAGGAACGAAACAGCGCGCACACACGTCAGGCAGCTGGAACACCGCTTGGCCATGGCGGACAGGCGTCGGAGATAAGGGAAATTTTTAGGGGCGCCATCCGGGGTGTGACCCCCGTAACGCTCTCAAGATTGTAGATAATGTTTGGTTCTTCGTCACCCGCCTGTGTTGAGCAATGTCATGCATGTGCATGCACGCGCACACAACACACATTGACACAATGACACACACACACACACACACACACTCTCTCTCTCTCTCTCTCTCTCTCTTACGAACCCGCGAACGCCCAGTCAACGTGGACGAAACCACAGCACTCACAACAACAACGCTCCACCCGACCCCCAGTCCCCAGGCGCTCCACACCCCGCACCCCCTCAACTGCCACCAACCACATCGCCCCAAAACCCCCACACCAATGCAGCTACCCGTCAACACCAACCCCCCAACAGTGCCGCCCACCGTCATCAGGCCGTCCACGTGGCCCTGCAGCCCCTCCCGCCTGTCGCCCGTCGCGGCCCTGCAGTAGCCCGCGACCAGCGCGGCCGCGCCGGGGGCCCGCCCGCTGGCGTCCTCCAGGGCGCGGCCCAGCTCCTCCACCAGGGAGGGCAGGCCCTCCTCGCCGGCAGCCTTGGGAGGGGGGGGTGGGTCGGGTGGTTGATCGGGCGGTCAGTACCTTTGATGCTGGTTGGTGCGTTGCTGGTTAGTTGGCTTTGCAGGGTGCAAGGGGCAGCAGGGTTTCGGCCCTGGAGAGGGGGAGGGGGCACTGGGGTGCCACATAGAGCAATGACCGCGCAACCGATTGGTTGCGTGGAGGCCCAAGAAGGGGTTGTAATGGAGGAGTGCAAGCGGGCTCACAGCACTTCGATACGGTTGGCATCGGATATTGGACATGTGATTTTGGTCAGCAGTCGCCGAAGCGGTCTGAAGGGGAATCAGTTTCTCGTCACGCGCCGGTCGATCATCTTGCATTTGCGCATCAGGCACACACATGCACGTGCGCGCGCGCACACACACACACACACACACACACACACACACACACATACACACACACACGTGCATGCACACGCGCACCCACCTGTGCGACCCGCAGCGCCGCCTCCTCGGCTGCCGGCGCCCGGTGGTCGTTGGGCTTTGAGGCGATGGCCAGGCAGGTCGACAGGATGGCCGGGAGGTGGCTGGGCAGGGCGGGGCCTGGAGGGGTGGGGTTGGGGGTGAGGGTGGTAGGGAGTGACGATGAGACGGCTTTGGGTTTTTGGGCTGAATCCGCGGGCGAGTCGACCCCGGTGACCGGGTGGCACGCAGGGCGGATTGCGGGTGTAGGCGTTTGTGGCATCGGTGATAGAATAATGTTGTTGTTTTGATTGAGTCTGCATCGGGCGTGAGCCCTTGGATTGTTGCAGTAAAGTTGGTTGTCACTTGCCGTGGTTGAGAAATGCAGTGATTTGCGCGCGCAATGTCAGCATAATAACTCAGCGGGGCACCCAAGCGGCCAGGCTGGAGCAGCTGCAAGCCAGGCACAGATATGCGCCCCACCCAGGTCGAAACAACACGCCAAAAGACGGAGGAAATGGTGCGGCGTGGCCAGCGCATGGCATCGGAAAGAGAGTTAAATTCGGTTTGTTCTGCATCGGGCGGCGAAGCCCTTGGATTGTTGCAGTTTTGGTTGCTCGTCACTTGCCGGGGCCCGCGCTCAGGGCCAGCACACGGAACAGCGCCGCTGTGGACAAGATGCCACGCCGCAAAATGTGGCACAGCCCAGCGCCTTCAGGGGCGCGAAGGAAGCCCAAACACACAATCACACACACACTCTCACACACTTTACTGGCTCTCCTGTGTGACAGCCGCAAAACAGAACTTTCACCACCACCAACAACCGGGAGACCCCTCCCCACCCACCCGCCACGCCGGCCAGCTCCCCCAGCGCCCTCAGCGACGACGACGTCACCGGCGGCCGCAGCAGCTTCGGCGCCACCCCGTTGAACGTCGCCGGCCGCACGCCCATGATCACCCGCAGGCCCTCCACGCTGGCCGAGTAGTGCGCCTCCGAGTCCAGCCCCGCCAGCAGGCTCGGCACGACGCCGTCGACCGCGCTGTGCGCGCCGCCGCGGAAGAGCACGCCGAAGGCGGCGCCGGCGGCCTCGCGGACTGAGGGGTCGCTGTCGCAGAGGGCGGCCTGGATGGGGGGCAGGATGTCGGGGAGGTGCTCCCCCAGCTGGTGGCGGGTGGCCGCCTCCAGCACCTCGCGAAGCCCCGCGCACACACCCTGGCAGTAGGGTGGGGGGAGGTATGCGGGGCAGGTCGGGCGGTTGGAATGATTTGGCAGGGTGAGGGCAGGTGCGCACATGCCCCGTCGCAAGAAGGGCCTGATGCAGGGTTGCTTGGGAAGTCGAAAAGGTCGGCAGAGTCAAGGGTATGCAGTCCGCGGGATGGGCGTGAGCTTGAGACGCAGGCTGTGCGGGTGACGCACACTGGAAGCCGCGCGGGTTGCTTGATCGGCACCCCGCACCCACCTCCTCCACTCCCCTCCACGCACACCCTCCTCCCATCCCCCCCCATCCCCCGTCCTCATGCCCCCCAACATCATTATTCAACACAAAGCGCGGCCCCCTCTCCCACCTGGCGCGTGGAGGCTGAGTCCGAGGCCATGGACTCGCGCATGATGGGCAGCATGCGGTGCAGGACGCGCTCCCCCATCTTGCGCACAAGCTCCCCCAGGCAGCGCGCGGCCGCGGTGCGGCGGTCCTCCGCTGCGGGGACAAACGGGCACAGGGGTGGCGGCCGGTGCGAGCCCGGTGGGAGGGGGCATTATGCATTCATTGTGTGTGTGTGTGGGGGGGGGGAGCAGGCGCGATGTAGCGCACAGTGACCGAGGCCGGGCCTGACAGCCCCGGCTCATGGCCTGGTGGGCCAGCACAGCAACAGACAGACGGCCAGAGGATCGTCTCCAGAGCGAGCGGCGGACAGCAGGAGCCCTCTCGCGGCGGCCTGGGCCGCCTTCGCGCAAGTCAAGATCCCTGGCTGAACCACGGTAGTCCTGAGTCCTTTCGATTCTGTGATGCGCGCCCGTGCGTTTGCAGTCGCCCTGATTGTCCACGATTCAGGGCCCCATACCCTGCACCCCCCTCCCCTCAAGGCGCCCCCACCTGGGTCAGCCAGTGCGTTGATGACCTCGGCCATGAGGGCTGGCAGGATCTCCTGGAGGGTGCGGGGGGTGTTGGCC